GGGGAAGAGCGCCAGCTACTGTTCAAGACCTGTATAACATCATTGCAGTGCTAATGACACAGTAGAGCTACATGTAGGCATAATATGCAGTGATTCGGTCTTGAAAGTACAATGCACTAAGCATGTACAAGTACGTCACAAGTGGCAAACCTTTTAAAGCTCGCGGGCCACAGCTAACGATTGGCATAACTTGGCGGGCCGTAGGTAATGTCCCCCCCCCCCCCCCCCACACAAACACTAATGCAATACGTGTACACATCTGCAATTTTGCAAAAACTAATAATCAAACAACAAAATCAGTGGAAAAAAAATCAGGCTTACTTTTTTAGTGTGATTTCTAAGGGGGGATTTGATGGACAAGTTTCAGCAAGTTAGACCGGTTACTAATTTGTCAGGTCTTTGTTTTCTAGCTTCACCCTGTAACTCTCCATAATTTGCTAGATGCAGCATGTCATAATGTCTTGCTATGTTGTTAACCTTCATTACATTCACACTCTGGTGACAAATGAGGCAAAGTGGGTTACCTTTCTCTTCTATGAAGAAATAGTTCAGAGATCAATCTGATTTAAAGTTTCTGCCTTCATCAGAAACCTTCCTTTTCTTCGCAGGTCTCAAAGTCGATGCCATATGTTGGTTGTTATTTTAAACAAAATCAAGGACACAGCAGAAAAAATATCCTAACCTTTATTAGTTGTACAATATCCTAACCTTTATTAGTTGTACAATGTACATCTCATTGAACGCGGTTTAAAGGGAAGGGGACTATCAAGTTTACGATTAAGATTCATGAGAAAATTCAACGGTGGGAGAAAAGGGTTGTAAGTTTCAAGACAAGTATGGCATTTCAAACATGGCATTTCGATTCACATTTTCACAACATTTGTATATTTACAAACGTTACTGCGTGCGGAAATTACAAACTTAAATCAACACGGCGAGTGATGTTAAAGGGATCGTTTAACAATGTTAAATCTGAGATAAACGGTCCTACATGCTACCAGTGTCTGTGATATGGTGTAATATTGAAGCCCTAAAAGAAATCGCGCTTCAAAATGATCAAGAAGTGCCTCAAAAAAGTAAAAATCTTTGAGTGACCGGTTTTACCATACTCGTTTTCCCCAATAGACTGTAGTGTTATGAAAACCGTTTGGCGAACGGTTTTCAAAATTTGTAATTTCAATCATTAATATCTTGATAATCAGACAGGCGATCGGCTTGTAAAAGTCATGGAGTTCCTAGCTGACCTAAAGGTTTATAATTATCATTGCAGCATGAGCTAAATCAAGGATTATTTCTAAAGGATCTAAGACAAAGTTACTGGATCCCTTTAATCTCGTTAATGTAATGGAATGAGAGGAAATTTGAGGAGTTTTGTATCAACCAAGTAGTCAATAGGCGGTGTCACAGGAAAAATCCCAACCAATCTTGAATAAACCAGATTTTAGAAATCTATTTTTTTCATTTACATCGGTGACAGACTGGTGACAGACAGGCTACGAATAATCCGGATAACTAAAATCTGGATTTTTAATGGGCCATTGCGCACGCGCCGTTTAGGTACATAAGCATTGTGACATCACATGTTCAATCAAAAGTAATGCGCAATTAATGCGTCTCATTAAATCCGCCCTAATTTAATTGTGCGCAGGTTATGATAGCGCGTATGCCAGCCAATCATTAAGTCAGACCTTACACTCACCTTAAAGGAGATTATTCCAACATTGGTGTCAGACAGAAAAAAAACTTAAAAATCCCTTGAAAAATCCTTTCAAGGTAGAATTACCTTGCTTCATTAGAGTATTTTTCAAGGGACTTTTTAAGGGATTTTTTAAGGGTTAATTGATGACAGACGGCCAGTTAAGAGGATAACTGAAATCCGGATTTTTGGCCTCTGTGTGACACCGCCTAATAAGTTGTGAATGATGAAAACAAATTATGGAAATAGAGATAGCTGTGTGTAAATGTTTTACCCTATTTTCAAAGCTCCGCGGGCTGCACAGAAAGAGCTCAATGTACATGGTACCCACAGGCAAGCGAGAGCGAGAACACGTACATTGTACGTGGTCTGCAGTCAAGTGGTTAAAGGGACTTGGTAACAATGTGCAGATGAGATAAAATGGTGCTAACGTAGTGATTCCACTGCTAGATGTACAATTAAAGATAAACTGATCTGATCAATTCCTGAATTCTCCCAACTATATTATTATAATTTAATTAAATTTAGGTCAATATAAATCGTCACAAAGCAATGAATGGGCTCTCCAAATATACCATTCCAAACATTAATATGTGGAACGATTGTTTAAAGCCTGTTTGGTGTCTTATTTTCAAGGAAAATTGGGTGGGAAAATTCAAAATTTGGTTGGGAAAATTTACTGTTAGAGGGTGTTGCACAGTGACGACTTCAGAGAAAACCATAAATACTTAGTTGAGAGTTTTTTTCAGGATTTTTGGCATGTCAGGGGGTTAGTACAGTAGAAGGAATATAATAACTAACATTTGCTTTAAAAAATACGCTGTTTTTCCATCAATCTTCAACAATGTAATACAGAGTCACTTTAATAAGATATAGGAAGGAAAAGGAGAGAGAGGGCGTGCAGGAATACATGTACATTCTACTTAAAACAAAAATCAAGGCAAGACCAATAAAGAGTGAATTCATGGTCTCATCAAATAATCCAGTATTGAAACATCATTATGATGAGAGAAGATGGGGAGAAGAGGTAGAGAAAAAAAGACATAGAGAGGGAGTGACAGATAGAGAGAGAGAGACAGAGATACAGAGAGACAGAGAGAGAAAGGACGAAGGTATAGAAGAAAATTGTTTAAAAGTTTTAACAGGAATACTTGACAATTCATTACATAGTGCAGGCAAGAGAAGTAACAATAAGGTTATCACAACGAAATCTAATATTCATGGAGGATGGATTATTTTTCAATATTAAATAGTTATGAGTTTAAATATCAATGAAACAATTAAGTTGGCATCAAAACATCTACCTATCTTCTAGATAAATTCAAGCATTTCAAATATATGTCTAACTGATCATAAACATCCTAATAATCTGGGAGTGCCTTGTTTAGTTCGGATACAAGAATTTAAAAAAAATCACTTCATGGTTTGACAAAATCAATGTCAGTATATAGTGATTGCATGGACAGAATCACTTGAAGGTTTGATTCCATGGACAAAATCACTATGTGAGATTGATTTTGTGACAAAATCAATTATTTGGAGTGATTTTGTGACGAAATCATACATGTGTCACGTACATGGCGCCCCACAGCGCATAGTTGAAAGTAGTAGAGGGGGGGGGGGTGGTGACATGGAAATTTTGACATCTAGTGCAGTGATCTTTGTTGGGTTAGTATGCTTAATTCACGGTTCCTTTATAAATGACCTAGGAAAAGGATAGGTGAAAGCAAAATAGAAACAGATCAAACTTGATTGATGGGCAGAATTTTCACCTCATTTTTTCATAGCCCTGGCATTTTACCTCTGATATTTTAACCTCTCACACTTTTACACCAAATAAATTGTCCTTGGTAAATTTTCCAAGGGGTATAATGCAGTTGTCCAGATACAGTCCATGGAAGTGATTTAAATTGTGCAAACCCTGCTACCCATGGACACTAATAATATACTCCTCTGTATTTATCTACTTATTGTTTATCTTTTAATTGTATTTTGTGTTATGTGATGTAAAATTTAACATCTTCCATTATGTAAATTCCATAGAGGGGCCAGAATCAACTAACAAATACATGTGCTATTTCATAAGTTGACCTTTGTTAACTTGACCTTTGACCTATTTATTCCAAAATCTGATGAGATTCTCTTCCTATGCTGAAACATACTATCATCAAGTTTAAAGTTCATATCTCAAGGGCCGGGTTCTAGAGATATCACGTTAATGAGAAAGTGGGTCGGACGCACGGACAGCATGAGTGAGAGCACCTTGCTTCGAGAGGAAACATCTGATTTTACTTATGCACCTGATTCCTGCCATTGCTGATTTGCAAACAGTTTTTATATGTTCTTTCAAGGTGATGTGCTTGTCAAACAAAGATAACCCCCAAATTTCTGGCTCAAGGCACAGGATTAATGTGGCAGTCACTGACATATATACACTAGATAGGGAGGGATCTTGACAAAACTTAGATGTGAAATGGATAACTTCAGTTTTGGAATCATTCAAAGACAATTTGTTTTTCATTGCCCAAATCTTCACCTCAGTTATGCAGGCTTCCTACTAATGATGTGTGCCTAGCAGGCAGCCCTTTAGTATCTTCTCAGAGTTTTGTTTTATTTGTTGGTTCATGATCAGGTCCAATAGTTTGTGTAGTAATCAGTGTCATCAATAAAGATGAACCTCATGAACCTTATAGTGTGGACCTTGCAGGACTGACTTTTAAGGATTTAGTGAAGTAATATTCCTGCATTTAAAAGTGTAAGTTTTTCACCTTGTTTGGATTGGATCTATGTATATGCTATAATCTTTGAGAAGATATATTCTTCTGTCAAAAGAACCAGCATTAGGCCTAAAAAAGAAACTTGTTGTATTGCCCTTTAGGAGCCAAAACATGGGTTGGTCGGTCAGATTTTTTTAATTTTTTTTTAACTTTTTTTTGGTCGCCTTCTTTGGGCCGATACTTTTCAGTTTTTAATGTTTGAACAAAATACATATTTTTGTATTCATTAATTTTAAAAAATCTAAAGACTTTTATAAAATGCCGACCGTAGATTTTCAGATTTTTGGGTCTGTCGCAAAGGGCAATACAACAAGTTTTTATTTTAGGCCTTATTAAAGAAACAGGTTAGTTTGAAATCTGTCTGGCCATGCAGTTGCAGACCACCTTATGTGTGTCTGCATCAGAAACAGATTTATTTTTTAAACATCTGTCACATCTTTGTGACAATAACCTGTTTCTTTTCTTCCCTTCTTTTTTTTTTTTGGGGGGGGGGGGGGGGGGAGACAATTCATCGCCCTCTGCCTGCCGGATGGAGGGTTTTTTAGGCCGTTTTGTTTTCTTCACATTCTGTCAAAAGAACCACCATATATGAGATATTGAAAGGAATTACAGAAAAGTAAAATGTAGATTAGAAAAAGGAAGAGATGGTAATGGAATTAACTTAAATTAAACTCAAACATATATCAAAATTGTGAATGAACTGCTTGCTCACCTTTGATTCTTTTCCTGTCCTTGCAAGTGTTTCAAAAAAACAATGATGGAATGCAGCATCTAGAAGAAAAACTTCTTTCAAGGATGGCATGGAGCATATCATCTCTGCCACATCAAGTGACATAGTAGGTCCACAATCTCTCTGAATACAGAGTTGAACCTGGATAAAATGACAAAGTGATTACTGATGAGATTCAGAATATAGATGTTCACTTGGATATAAGCCATACATGAGTAACCTACATGAGTGGTTGCCCTAAATGTGCTGCTAGAACTACAGAGAGTAAGAGGGAAAAGGAAATAACTAAGGGTACAGGCTGAACAACTATTGCCATGACATTTCATATCAAATTCCTATTTTTGCGACAGTAGGAATATCTCATCTAAGTTTACCATGTAATAAACAGAGAATCCTTAAACAAAATTAAAGGAGAGTATATTAAAGTCAAAGGACAGGTTTCAAAGGAGGTTATTTAAGTCCGCACCATCTGGTGCCTCGATCGTCCCTCAATCATTTATAAATGTTAATAGGAATACGATCACTTAATTAAAAGGATGGATACAGAGCAAAAATCTAGGCTCGCAAAGGAGAAAAGAAGATTTTTTTTTTATACCCCCTGCATGAGCACATACATGTATTCAGTTTTACCAAGGGAGAGTGAAGCAGGAGATGAATTGATCAAACTTAATCATGTACATTTATGTTAAGAGTTGCAATATCAATAACACCAATTTTACACAGGGCCAAGAATATCAAACAGATACCTTTGTGCCCTGTCAAACATTCATAAACCAAGAATTGGGATTTCAACTAGGCAAGAGATATTTTTTGGGGAGGGATGAAAAATATTGATGAAGTTCCCTGTCCCAAATCTTATCTCATCTAAAAAAGGTATAGATGCAATGTGAATACTGGTATATTATATGCATGTGCCAGTACATAGCTTTAATGTAATTGAATTGACGTCCTCTTTAAATGTGCACGTTCTAAATTCTTTTCTGATACCTCTTCCACCCAAATCATATTCGTTTTGCACGCAGCTAGTGCTTGTTATTCCTAATTAGGTCCCTTTCTCTATCCCATCATGCCTGGCCTTATTAGTGCCCTTTTTTGGATTTAGATACTTCCAGATATGCACTTTTCAGCAACAACAACAAAAAAATTCATCCTACCACTGACCGACTTTGCAAAAAATTGCTCTCGAAAACCATACTTTTCAGCATAATTCCTTAAAACTTCAAAATACACTGTATACATGTATATGCGTTCTATTTGCGAACTATATACCTAGGTCTATGAAACTTAACAGACATGTGTAATCGTGTATCAAACTACTTGACAACCGAATGCCAACTTTGGTAAAATTTCATGACGTCGATCATCACTAGTAAAATGATGAATTTGCTAAGCATCACATTACAATGCGTGACATGCATGTCGTACCTTAGTGTGGATGACAATGGGTTAAAATGACCCCAATGGAATAACCTTTCAAATGGTTCCATACACAGTATATGTTCACTTAGTAAATTTTGAGTAAATCGATATTGGAAGCAGGTCACAATTCTGATTACACAGGTTTTCTGCCCAACTGTAACACGTATTGGCTATGACTTCAATTTTATTCTGGGTGGCCAAACTCAGGGCATGTCTCATAGCCCAATTTTGAAAATCTGTCATCCGGACGTTTTAGATGCCTTTTTATATCCTGCATTACGATGTATCGCTCTATATGCGTCATGTATTGGTACGTTAGGATGCAAGGCCATATACATGTAGGCTAAAGCATATGGAAAACCATAGGTGCGTAATGACATGTGCCTTGGTGTGTTCATTGTACATAGGATCACCGATCTAATTGCTCAGTTAATTTATCTGCTCAAAGAAATAGAAATACGGGCATTAATGCATGAATATCATCACCGATTGCAGTTCTAGCTAATTAATGATGCATGTTCCGGTTTTTAAATGTATATAAATAAATTACTTTGTGCTATGCTTACTAAATTGCTCGGGTGACTACACATTTCGACTTCGCATTTTAACCTGGTGACTCTGGGTATTGGTGCTAATGCATTATTTTTAATACAAATTTCTTTATTCCATTGTCTTTCAATTCTCCCCTCTAAATTACGTCTTTCTCTACTGTTACGGTTTCTTCATCTACAATACTTAGTTTTCCAGGAACCTATAATATACAGGCACTGCTTTTTAATAGGTACCTCACATTCTAATTAATCTATTATATAAATTGAGAATCATTGAGACGTGCTCATTTATACTACATGTATTGTATAATTTTTTATTTAAATGTATGTCCATATTTTTGGGTAAAATGTGGAACAATAAAAACTTGAACTCAAAAACTTGAACTTGAACAAGTTTAACAATTGTTACTGTTTAAACCTCCTTGATGCATCCTTCCATAGTTATATTCTTGTCCTGTAAGAAAATTGCAAAAAGATGTAATGTAAGAAAATGGATGAACTGATTTTGTTTATCAAACTATGATCAAACTTACCACATGTGGTCCAACGAATGCATAACCAGCTACAGTGTGTGCTGTCATGTTTTTGTTTATGGTCAGCTTAATCTCCTCTGATGAAACTCTGTCCCTCACCAGGGCTGCTACATCTGGGTCCTGACTCTCAAAGGCTACATCAACAATGAAATCTATCTGTTCATGTGAAGCCCCTCTGTCCATGTATTTATCCTGAAGCATAGACTTCATTACATGGGTGGCAATACTTTTGTTCTGTGACACAGTGAAGTACAGGAGATACCTAAACCTCTCCTTCCATGGCAGCACTACTTGCTCAATCAGCCTGTTGAATTCATTATGATCTGATTCATACAGGGAAGCAAGATGGACTCCAGCCATGTACTCCTGAAACAGTTTGTGAGGGAAGAAGACTGGCAATTGCACATAAGAATTTCCCTGATGTATGTCCATGCTAGTGGTAATTCTGTCCTCCTGGGACAAAATCCCAACCCTACAGGCAGTGTCCTTGGATTCTGGGCATATTTTGAAATCATCTTCACCGAAAACCAAGGTATTTTCTAGCAGACCATTGAGGGCCTGTTTGGCAATTGGTCCAAGGAGCTCATTAATTTTTTTCAAAGAGGCAAGAAGTGAGGGGCTGCCTACTTTCTTCACCTCTTTCTGAGCATAATGTTCTTTTAGAAAGGCAATCATTGTTTTGAATATTTGAGAAAAAGTTTTCAGTGATTTCATTTCCCTTAGTTTTTGCTCACCAAGTTCTTTCCACATAAGACACAACATGGCTACATATATAGGATAGTGGGCCATGTTTTCAGATATGACATCATTCTCACGGGTGAACTGGAAAAGCTGATTTGCTTTATCCTCATTCTTTGGAAAGTATTTGTGAATGTAAGCTGACAAATTCTCTCTGTTGAAACCCTCAACATGAATGAATGTGTAGAGCTTCATTAGATCACCATCTGATCTAATCTCTACTGCTCTCCAAGGGCGAGTGGTAACCAAGACAGGGCAAGAGGCAAGTTGATCCGAACAAAGAATATCTACAAGTCCTATATCACCAGTCTCAGATGAGCTTCCATATGCCTCTGGAGAGTTGACACTTGGCTGTGATGGCTGAAGTTGCATTTGATCTGTAGACTGTGATTCACAAGATTTTGGCTTCATGATTTCGCCACTGACTTCGTCTAGCCCATCGAATGCGATGAATACCCTTTCAGGATTCGACTGGATATACTCAGTAATCTGAGAAACCGTTGCTGGATTGTTTTTGGCCAGATAAGACTTTACAATCTTGCCAATAGTATGTTGCTTAAATTCACGTAGAGGAACAATCAAGACCCACACAAAGTGACTGAAATACATCCCTTCAATCCAATCCCAGGCAATCTTAGCACAAAATGTAGTTTTTCCAGCCCCTGCCTCTCCCTGAACCATGATCCGCTTGGGGAACTCTCCATTGACTTTGAGATCAAGAAAATTGTTGTAATCTAATATTTGCTTGCCAGTTCCATCCTCTTCTTCCAATACAAGATTTGCGTATAGTTTTTCAAAACCCACAAGAGAAGAAGGCTTGAGAGGATCAGCTCTGATCTTACAGAGAGTTGACCTGTACTTGAACTTGAAATCATTTGCACACCGCTCAACCAGTTCAGGAGAAAGTGGTGTGTTCTGAGATTCAGCTGAAGGAGGTTTGTTCTGTGATTCGAGCAGTCTTGATGGCCCTCCTAAAGATACATAGATAATTCATATTAGCATGATTACATATAAACATATTTTGATACATCTGAAAGTATTGTTAAAGCCCGAGGCTAATAGTGTGACCTACGACTAGGTGCATTTACTCAAAGACACAAAGTCCTACATGTTTGTCTGAATTTGACTTGTATGAAGTCATGAAGTCAATTATGCAACCGTGGGCAGATGCATAATTAGAGTTATCATAATGAAATGATCAATGCAAAATAATATAATTTGTTTGTAGAACATGTAAACATAAAGAAAGCTGACAAACATTAAAATTCTGCTGTCACTCAAAGAACTTGTACTATACTGGTGTACAGAAAATATCTAAGATTAACAAAGTTAAATTAGTAACTTATAAAAACATTCATGGGGCCTGATAAAATTTGACACTTCTGTAAATTGTAGCAAATGTATAGAACACAGAGCAACACTTTCTCTATGACCCCATTCTCACTCACTATGAAAGTGGTCTTAGTTAGACCGCTCCAGAGGAACGGGTCTTGAGGAACGGTTTGCGAGCGTTCACACTCCGAGCAGTTTTTTATGGCTCAAACCGCTCCACGAGTCAAAGTGGTCTTGTTGCTATGGCAGCTCAGGTCAGCAGTTCAATTTTTTCGCGCGCGGAATACAAACCGTATGTACCGTACTACATGTTTCGCACGTACGGAACGTCACTAGCTCACTTCCGTTCAAAGTACGCTTCCGTTCACATTGCACGTTAGAGCGGTCCAAACCGCTCTTAATAAGACCCGTTCCTCAAGACCACCTCGGAAGGTGGTCTTCTGGAGCGGTCCAGAAGTCCACTTCCTGGACCACTTTGACCGTTCTCACTCACCTAAGAACCGCTCCTGAGGAACGGGTCTTAGTTAGACCGCTCCAACGAAGTGAGTGAGAACGGGGTCTATGATAAAAACTCATTTCACTTTTATGCATGGTTTCTATATCTTCAGCAAGAATACATGTAGGGCTGGGAATTTTGGGAATAGTTTTAATTTGGGTACCCGCCACCGTCGTCGTCACCAGAAAAGCGGCGCCTATCATCTCGCTTTTTGCTACGCAGGCGAGACAAAAACTGGGGTGAAAATAGAAAGAAAACACACAAGCCGCCATTTTGATTCATGCAGGATGAATGGCCTTACTGCGAGGTACTTGCATGTGTATATATTGTTTATGTTGATCACGAGGCGGATAGAATCCACTCTACTGCCCTCTGCGGTAAAAAGCAGTATAACAGTGGATTCGAGCGTAGTGATTAAATATGTTCAGCAGGCCCCTTCACTCCTCAAATATCACTATTTATGTGGCATTTCTTGGATAACTATTGAATTCTTTATCCGAGTTATGATCTACTTACGGTATAATTTTGAGTAGTTGTATCTTTCCCAGTGTGATCTCGTAGTTTTGAAAGATTTCTTCGTAAGATCATGTATATTTGTTTGAGTTTGTTTCGGCACACATTACAGCTAATTTAAGTGTACTGCGCATCTTTCCGTGACTAGTCCGAACTTGTCCTGCATTAACAGCAAGGAGTATCTAAATTGTTGTGATTACTAAGTAATTATCAGCCTTTAAACTAAGCATGCGATGTTAAGAATAAGAGAAAAAAAATCATTTTGTCTTTAGTTCATCATTTGATCAGTATTTCATGAAGAATTTTTTTTTAGAAAGCTGTTTTATTTATTATTATTTTTAGTCTGATTATTAAATCCTGCGTGAATCAAAATGGCGGCTTGAATGTTCTCTTTCTACTTTTACACCAGATTTTGACAATTAGAGGCAAGATATTAGCACTATATAAGCATCACCAAACATGGATGAAAATAAAGTCAATTGTTAAATATATACCGCCGATCTGAGCCGAAGTATGCATGTGTTCATTTATTTGATTGATAAATAAGGTCACTTTTAGTTTACGGGGCATATTTTTCATTGCAATCAAATTATCTGTTTGTTTGATTGTTTTTATTTTTTATATTTTTGATAATGCATTTCTCTTAAAGATACTATGTCCCTTTTGCAGCCAACATCAAATTCTGTAGAACTTTGCAGGAATTATGAATATGTCATGTATGTCCTATCTGTGAAATTGAATCGTTAGCAGTGTCCTAATATTCAAATTATGCAAGGAAACCCGTTTACTTGCTAGACTTCACTGTCAGACACTATTGAGTGACTGACTGGCTTTTTTTTTCTTTGGTAATAACATCCATGAAATGAGCTGTAAAGGGTACATGAGCACAGTGTCTACATCAATAACCCACTTCTTGTAATGGCCAAAATTAAACTGATTGAATCTTTGCGCAGCATAAAACATACGACCATTCGGTACAATGGTCTGAAAATCGGACTATTACTTACTGGCTCTATAGCTCTGAAGTCGATTTGACAACTAATAGTCGTTATTTTCCCACTTAAAGACATTTTCAACCCCCCTTTTTTAGGGAAGCTCTAAATTAGTATTATACTTCAAATGCCGTTGGAATTAACCTTTTCATTTTTTGGCCTGCAAATGGGACATAGTACCTTTAAAGGGTGGTAATATAGGGGATCAACCTTGACAGGCCAATGGCCTTTGTTGATTCCTCGCATCCACCACCTTCCATCCTTCTTTCACAGTACCATGTCAATGAATGTCTTTATATTTATATTGTTTAATTTATACTGATTTGTTGGTATATCTTTTGATGTATTTTTAAAGGGATGTGAAATAAAATTGAATTGAATTGAATTTTGGGAAAGGCATATCTAATTTGTTGACTCAGGACCCAAGGATCTTGGGCGTGGCCGGGTACCCGGTTTTGAGTCCCAGCCCTAAGCAAGAATTAGTATCTGTTTACCTGTGCTGTTAGGAATTAGAGGCTCATTGAGTAATCTGTCTGACAGGCCACCCAAGTCAATCTCTCGTAGTTTGTCTGCCAAAAGCTGCCGTTTGTTTGAGTGTGGTGGTTGCTGCTTGACATTCCATTTCATGAATACATCAAAAAATGCGTTGGTATGGCTATTTGACTTCTGAAACAGGATGTTCTCTAGCTGAGCATAAGGGAAACCTAGAGATGTCCCTACAGCGTTGTAGTAAGATGGTTGGATAGCCTGGGCCAGCTGCAGGAACTCCATGTCACTGACATTACTGTAAAATGAATAATAAATCAATTGAGTATGATAGGATATTAGTTAGAGAGCATCCTATTGCCTGAGAAGTTATCATGTGATACTCAACAATTTGTATTACATACGTGCTTGAGCATGCAATATATAACAGCCTAGGAATATCAGAATATAATGCCTGTGATATTAACAATTGAAACATAGTGCCCCAAGTTGCAGGTCAGGGCAATATTGTTCTGACAAGGGTAATTATTCGAAAAAAGCAGAGTTCGTCAGTAAATACAATAATGACGATGATGATAAAATAATAATGAGAAGAAAAGGATTACTATACCACTTGTCAAAATAATAATAATGTTTACATTTTTTTACATGTATTATCATTACTACAATAGATGATGATGATTATTATTATTATTATTATTATTATTATTTTTACAACTATCATCATCATCATCATCATCATTATTGTTATAATTCTCATTACTATTACCTTCATCATCAACATATGATAATATGTATCATGCATAATATATGTAATCATTATGTTTGTTCGATAACATGATGATTTCAAGTGTCACTGCATTGACTCATTCATGACAATTGACCACATTGAGTGGTTTGCCTTGTTTAAGAAGGTTGAGTTTTCGAAAAGGTGACAAAAAATTGTGAGCTTTTTCACACTTTTTATGTTAATTGTGGAAGAGTATCATAGAACGAAATCTTCCCTGAAAAAGACAGCTCTTCAATTGCCCTCATTTGTTTTAAATGACAAATATTTTGTTTTTGACCACATGCACTTTCCTGCCACCATGTTTGTGGAGTCACAAATACACATTTCTGTGTCAAGCTACTAGTGCATGTGACTTTTAGCAAGACTGGGAAAATTATAATTTTGACAACTCCAACACCTCACAGTAAACACCAATACTTATGTGCTACATGATCAACCTTTCCAATCGCTTCCACACTGTTGCCCTTGCAATGTAATCGCGTAACTATAGGTCCCTGTTTCATAAAAATTGTTATCAATCACAAATGATAAATTTCTATGACATTTCTGATCTCACAAGAGCAGATCAAATGCCACAATTTTAGTAGCTTATAACAGTTATTGTAACTTGTTATTGATAACAAGGTTTATGAAACAGGACCCAGAATTCAACTTCATTGTTAACCCTGAAGGTGCTACTAGTATGTGCATACCTTACTGCAGTGTTAGGACCTGGATTGGTTTCAACGTCACCGGATCTCATCAAGAGGATCAGGAGCAGATAGAGAAGGCAGAATCCATCCATGGTGTAAGATGTCCTTTGCACTCTACAGAGATTTAGTCCTCTGGAAAATGGTGATATGACACAGGCGACAATATCTGAAAACAATATATAAAAGTATAGATATTACGTACATAAAACAGATGGAATAACTATCCTTCAGAGTTTCAATTCACTACATCTATAATAATAATACGAGAAGCTCCATGGGTCCGATTGTGGGCGGTCCGATGACGTATTTCGCGTCGAAACGCGTCGATCTGCGTCACCTAACGAGGCTCCGGGCTCGACGTCGGGAGAGCTATCTCCTCCCGGACGACTGGTCGAGGGGGGACGGGACCCGACCCGGGGGACGAGGAATTCTTTTCTACGTGGACTCGGCCGGTTTTTTTACCCATTCTGTCCCGCCATCGACCGGGAAATCGTAAAAAAACGATGTGACACGCTCATGAATATTATGCATGACCTGTTGCATGCATGCATGAGCCTCGAACTGTTTCAATCCATTGCCCCTAAAAAATTGTTTTTATTCTAATTTGATATTATTTTTACTAAAAATATTCAACAAATTACGAATGTGTTATTATTCTGTTTATACAGTCAATAACAATTTGATAAAACGGAGATATACAATCACGCAAAAGCAACGACCTAGCTAAGGCTAGCTTATACTTTTGAGCAGCACGGTCCGACCTCGATCTATATGAATTGTCTGCCAAAATCAGAAATAAACATTTTGTGTTTGATTTTTTAGCAAATACATGATACGATAATAACAAATTATGGTGTTATATTTTTACAATCCTGATTAGATTTATATTGAAAGTTTCAATAGCGTAAATGGCAACCGATCAAAGGTAGGTACGTACGTACCATCTCTATACATGCATGGGCTTCGGCTGTTCTGTACATGCATTGTTCTAACAAGTGTGTGCGGGGTACGTACATGATAATGCTCAACATGACACACAAAAAGCGCTATTCATCTTCGCGTGTATGTATTAAACGTGTGTGCACGTGTGTTCATGTTCTACATTGCATTGTGCAGCGCATGTATACTATAGCGACTTTCATTCAACGTACTGATAGTTATACCTCGACTTGGTGAACCTCTTCTCGATTAAATAAAAGCACCTTAGACTACTCATTAATAATTGTTCGATAACACAAGTTTATTTTCTGCTTCAAACGCCCGCTTGCAGCTGATTTAAATAAGTAAAATTGTCTTATTACATTACATAACAGATTTCAGATTTCATGCAGCACCTAGACCAACATAATATATTTATAACTAACTCCATGCAAGGAGCTCAGCCGCCGCAAGCGTCAGCGAAGCTACCTGGGGTTACTGTATAACCATGGAGTTAACTCCATGGTATAACGTTATCATAAGATCATCAACGTGACAAAGGCGAAAAAAAGAGATGAGGGTCGGGTAGGGCAAAACATCGGGGCAAGCCAAATTCTGCCACCAAAATCTAATATGCATCTACATCAGTCTGCAGACTACAATTTTTGCATTTAGAAACTGAAGGGAATAAAAAAAAAAATGCCCTTGGCCTTGGTATTTGGTTAACTCTGATTATTAATAGAAACATTACTTCTCATGAGTTTAACTTCCGAGTCCGAATTCTAACGTTAAAGAAGAAGAGATCTACTTTTATTTTAATTAATCTAATATATTATTGATTCCACAATAATTGATTGATTGATTTCTATTCGACAAGCTTCCAACATACAACAATAAACAATAATAACAGATCAAAAATAAGTCAGCTTGAACAGGATAACCCACGAAAGCTCGAGAGCTTATTTCCAGTGGGGTCCCTTACAGACATGTATAAAATTAAAGATAAACTCCAGTTCTGGTAAAAAAAGAAAATTAATTCTCACAGAATCAAACGAAACTTACACTGAATGTTCAAGATTACAAATAAATGACATGTGCCAAACAATTTTGGAAGAAAATGTAAACTGGCTGAGTAATGAGCATAGAAAGACAAGGAAATCAAGGTAGTACCAGCCCCGACACCATTGTGTTGTCCCATATATAGCTTTCTGTGTCAGTGCTTGCTACTTTACCAAGACTCGGTCAAATTTATTATGATTTTGATGACTCCAGAACCTTGCAGTGCACACCAATACTTACATGCTACATGATCAACTGTTTCTGATCCTTTCCACACCTTTTCTTTCACAATGCAATCGCATTACCAGTACTAAAGTTTATCTTTAATAAGTTAAAATAGTAATATTTACAGAATTAAAGAATTAATCTATTCTAAGTAAACTAAAACTACATTTCCATTAATATAGTTGGATCTAAGTATGTAATGTTAACTTATGCATATTCACTTTTTACATAAAAGCAGTGAAGGGATGTTCCTTTGTCTACCTGAGGAACTGTTTATTTTGTCCGCTTTCTTTGTCAGTCATATTCATAGTGTCTGTTTTTTAATGACATCTGCAGCCGAAATTTGTGCGCCTATCTCCTTCTAAACCGTCCCCTTGGGGTACCGGTGCACGGTGCCATCAGCCGCCGGAGAGTCTACTCTATATCAAATTGGCTATGCTCCGCCCGATGTCCACCTCCGGGTGCCTTTACTTCAACGCCACAAACTTTTTCGCCCACGCCTCCTGAAACCCGTCCTTTGGAAGGAATGGCTGGGACCAGCCAAGAAGTTGTGCCTTGCAGGGTTAATATTCAAGAATTGCTGTATTTGGGCAGAAAACAATGATTTGGTGATTTTTGTTTTTGTAGTAGACAATCAGGGCACCCAGGTTTCTTTCCCAGCATGCAATGAGCATCATCATGTACTGCACCATATTTATAGAGATCCCAGGAGTGTATTCAAGGCTCCTCGGCCCAGCGGTGGCAAGAAGAGGCACAGGAATATGGAATCAAATTAATGCATAAATCTTTGTTAAGTGCCTCGTTACTAATTATTTCATTCACCCGTTACAAATAATTTTATTTCAATAATCAGAATGTGAATTACAAACATTAGTTCTGACGTGTTGCTACATGTAGGTAGGACAAATATTATTTCTTGTCCTAACTAACAACATGGAATACATGCAATTTGCATTCTGACTATCACTATGAACATGACGGACAAAGAAAGCGGACAAAATTTACAGTTCCTCATTCTACCTTCAACAATTGCTGTGGTAGACAAAGGGACATCCCTTCACTGCTATTAAGTAAAAGTAAGTAGCACGTACAGGTGAATATACATGTGACACCTGTTCTACACATTTTACATAATTAATTGTAGTGAAGGGATGTTCCTTTGTGTAGAATATGAGGAACTGTAGGGTCTATATTTTGTCTGCTTTCTTTGTCTGCTATGCATAGACCATACAATTATTTGTAACAGGTGAATGAAATGCTTCTAACAAAGATTTATGCATTAAATTTGCTTCCATTTAGGCCTAGATCTAGATCTAGATCTAATACGAAAAAATTGAGAAATTCTAAAAATAGATATTTGATGACGTCACACTTCACCACTCTCTATATACTATAACACAAGGAACAAGGTCAGTATAGATCTAGATCTATAGACTTTTTTCTAGGTCTATGTAGATCAATGTACATGAGAGTCACAACCCTTGCACGTTAAGAACCCATTGCACTAGGCCTATTCGTATAAGAGTAGATCTAACAAGTTAGGGGGAAACCCCGATGTAATGGTCCACTTACTCCCCTTGAAGTTAGACCTGGAAGCTTGGCAGCTGGAGACGGCTTTCTTCCAGAAGCTTTGGTATTCAAGGTATATTCATACCCCAACCAGGCCGAGTATACGGCATCTGCAAGAATCTTCAGTATTGAAGGAGGCAGATTATCTTGAAGAAGAAGAAGAAGAAGAAGAATGTAAATACATCACATGTACACTAACTTTGACCTTGTTTCACTTCAGCTCAGTCTGATTATGTTTGCAAAGGCAGCATTTCGTCGACAGACTTCAATCTATATCTACTGCAACTGAAGAAAGATCCTAAAATTTACTAAGATCAATCACTGAATCGAACTCGAAAGCTAAGCGAGGTGGCGTGGCAGTACTGTACAGGACGTGCACATGTGCACAAATCTGGCAGAAAAATGGCGACTGTACAGTATAGTTCGGTGGGTCACTGAGCGCGCGATGGGAATCCCCGGCTCTTTTCAGCAATGTTGTTGTTGGGGTTTAGATGGCGCTCTTCAATCTTGACAGATTATCTGCGCCACGGCGTTCCTTTTTTAATGCAGCATGTTCATCTTTTCGAACTTGATCTCATGGCTCACTTTTACTGGGGGGGGGGGGGGGGGGGGGGGGGTCTGTCTTTCCAGACTTCTGTTTTCGAGTCATGACTTGGCTCACCTGTCTCAGCGAAGTGCTACTGTGCAAGATTAATTATATTTAATTTCCCTTCACCATTAGTCGTGCAATTTAATCATAAGGATGTAGATTCTTAACCTTATGATTTTAATACTGATGATATTCAAACATTTCAATTTCAACAACAACAACAACAACTTTTCAGCAAGATATCTTCTACGCCTGCGCGGGTACACAGCTATAAAAGTATAGACAGTTCATTTCAGTTTGGTCTTCAGCTAGTGTGGTGTAGAACAACGCTGTAAATCACAATTATCATTGTTGTAATCATTATTGTTGCATCATATCAATTCCTTCGCGCTCCTTTTGGGAGATCAACCGACCCGCGCGCATTTTATATTACATGACATATGGTAAAATTCTCGACATCTTTTTACACTTTTCTTTACCATTAAAAATCGAAATTGAGAATAATATCCTCAATCGAGATATGAGAAGAAGGAAACATTTCCTTTACATTCCATGTAAAACCATGCCCTTACTTGAAAAAAAACCTCCGTCACTTTGACGTTGAACTTTACAATCCATTTAAAAAAAATTACTCTCTCATACACAATGTCAATGGATCGGTCGCACTGTGCTCGATTGCCATTCAATAAACCAATCTTTAACTTTGCAGCAACGCGTTTTGCGTCAAATTTGTAAATCCTCAATCACAGACAATGACATATGATACGTAAGCTTTTCATACATATAAATTTCATTTTGATTGATTCATTTTTAGCTCCGTCAATTTTCATGTCAAATCATGCTTCATGTCCCATTTTAGAAGCCCGACCCAGGGTTTTGTGCCAGCTAGCCCTGTATGCATGTACGTAATGTTATGCATACACATATAACTGAACATGCATAAGTACAGTACATGTACACGCAGCGCAGCGCGTACCAGCGCACTGCACTACATTTCATTGGGTCAGTACCATTATGAAAATAGGGGAACAATGAGTGGGATGGGTTTAGTGCCGTCACAATAAACTTGCGCATTACACGCGTACGTATAATTAGAGCAATTTATGCACCCCCAAGAAATAATGAATACAGCCCGACCTCTCTACACACAGAACTGCACAGATACCGCACAGTCCGGTCAAGGCGGTACGCGTAGCGTTAAACTGCCAAATTTACAGAAATTGTGAGGAGCGCTTTTGCTATGAAAGGAATTGATATGGATCTATAACCTACAAAAATTCTCTTTCATCAGAGCACTTCATCTGCACCGTCTCATACTAGGCTAGCTTTCCTTTTGTCTTTTCCTTTTTTTTTAGCTATAGATTGAAATCGGTCATTAGTAAGACAGTTTTCAGGGTCTCCAATAATAATTGTTGTCATGTCAGTGGCGGATCCAGGGGCGATTCGGCCATGCACTCCTTTTCGGCGGCCTGAAAAGGGGAAAGAGAGCGACGGAAGAAAAAAATAGAAAAGAAGGTTAAGAGGAGACTTGAAGAGATGAAAATGAAAGAGAGGTATAAAGAGAGAGAGAGAGAGAGAGACAGAGACAGAAAGAGAGGTATAAAGAGAGAGTGAGAGAGAGACAGAGAGAGGGAGGGAGAGAGAGAGAGAGAGAGAAATTAAATTTAAAAAAAACAAAACATACCCTATATGTAACGGGTCAGCAACGTATTGGATGGGATAGATACCCCACTCCATCGCAAGCTATTCGTAATGCATACGTAAATGTATAAATCAATGGCGGATCGAGGGATAGGGGTCGAATAGGCCGCGGCCCCATTTTTTTTTATCGCGGCCTTAAAGAGGGAAAAAAGAAAATCAGAGGGCGACGGAAGATAGAGGAGGAAAAGGAGAGATAGAGAGAGAGAGTGTGTGAGAGAGAATGAGAGAGAGAGAGAGAGAAAGAGTGAAAGAGAGAGTGAGAGAGAGGGAGAGAGAGAGAGGGAGAGAGAGAGAGAAATATTATTCAATTGAAAAAACCAAAAAACATTATATACCTCACTTAAGTAATCCAGCCATCTGATTGGTCGAAATTGCATTCATAAACTTCAACTGTTCCTGTAAAATTCCCGGTAACCATGCATAAAACATTTAATATTTTTAATAACCATGGTTATTAAAAAAATAGGTCAGCCTCCATGGTTACCCCATAGGTTTACATGTTAAAAAATGGTTTGAGCGATCGAGGATACCGTATGTGTGCGAAGGATTGGTCGGTAATTTCAATACAATTGAATCTCGATCGATCTTACCGACAATTTTATCTTGCATTGTTGACATGAAGACGAAAATAAACTTCCAAAAACAAAAAAACAACATCTGCCGATAGATCTTGATCTAAGTTCGTGCCAATATGCATTGCAAAAGTAAAAGAAGGGTCCGTTTAATGGAGCTTTTGCGAAGCATTCATCACGCCGAAGCCGGTTTCAATCCATTTTAATGTATATATTGTACAAAACTGTCAAGCACGTGAACAGCGCGTGATGGACGAGTGGTGTAAGGCGTTGGTGTATGTTTCATCACTCATTGTACGCAAGGGTTCGACTCTCACCTTCGACAAAAAAAAAAATTATTTATTATTTTTTATTTTTTAGTCTATTTTTTTTCGGCATATAAAAGTATTAATGACTGCTTTAATATTCGAGAAATAGTTGTTTTTATACGCTCTCGGGAAGGTTACAATTGGGCTATTCCCCTCGGCACGCCTCGGGTAATAGCACAATTCTAACCTTCCCTTGAGCTTATAAAAACAACTATTTCTCTCAAAGCAGTCATTAATACTATATTCTATACCACGGATTGGATGGGATGGATACCCCACCCCATCGCAAACATATGAAAACCTTTATTCTATAAAATTGTCCTTAAGGGAGTGTGAGTGAGAAAGAGAAATGATTTCAAATGAGATAAACTATAAGGGGCAGTGCAAATTCCAAGGAATATGAGAGTTTAGAGGCGGGTCTGGGTCTCCGGCTGGGGCTCTGCATGCCCTTGCGAGCCGAAAAGGGGCCCTGAAGCATGCCATTGGACCCCATCAGTAATAATAGAAGTGATACCCAAAATTCACAAGACAACAGCCGCTACTGTCACAAGCATTATGATAGTTGGCATCTGCATTTATCTTGATTCTTTGATTTACCTCCATTTTCAATTTTAAAATTATGTATATGTATTTAAGTTTGTTTTTGTATTTCAGTTGTCACATTTTATGTAAATCAACTTTATTTTATATCATTATTGTTAATTGTAGATTTTGTATTTGATTTTCAATAAATGCAGAAACATCTGCTTAAAAATGCTTTGTTGTATAAAACTGTCGTTAGGAGAGAGTGTGTGTTATTATCGCTCAAGACGGCTTACTAAAGGTTTCGAATTGCTAAAACTCGAGAACGTCTGAGGGATTCGCCCCCAGGACCCCCTCCCCCTGACTGGGGCCCTTAATTAAGAAGTGCCCTTGGACCCCACTTCTAAGGCGCCTAAAAATGGAAAGGGGTTAAGAAAGAGCGACGGGTGAAAAGGGATAATAGAAAGAGAAGAGAAGAGAGAGGGAGGGGAAAAGTAGGGATAAACCGAGATAGATATAGAGACAGGGAGACAGAGAGAGGGGAGAGAGAAAGAGAGAGAGAGAGAGATGGGGAGAGAAAAGAGAGAGAACAGGAAATACAAATATTAAACCTAAATTTACACATTCAGATTTCTGTTGAGTTTGCTGGACATGGGCCTACAAAGACTTCGGAGGAAAATAGAACTGTTACAGTACGAAAAGCAGTATTTAATCTAATTTATACACAATAGTTTTTTTACGAGAGAAAGAGAGATGATTTCTAAAATGAAAAGATAAAGGCTATGTTAATTCTAAGGAGAAAAGAACAATTTCTATCACTTTTGACGGCCATCTTTAAGGTTCTACAATCACTTTTAAAAACTGAAGAACTTCGGGGCTCCCTAGCAAAGGCTCGATCTGCCCCGGTATGGACTCTAAGGCGGGCCCCTGGACCCCAAAACAACCTTTTGTTCTCTAAAATTGTTGTTAGGAGAGAGTGTGTGTTTCTATCGCTCAAGACGGGTATCTTGAATGTTCTGAATAGCTAAAACTTAAGAGCGTCCGTGGGCTCCGCCCCTGGACCCCCGGGCTTGCCTCTGCAAGCTGACGGGGCCCTAAAACAGGTCTGTGGACCTCATCCGTATAAGTGGTTCCCAAGAAAAAACCTTCCTTCTATCAACTTGTCTTTAAGAGAGCATATAAAACACCCTTTTCAGTTTTAATGAACAGTAAGTCTCAGAAATAGGTGTTTATTGTTTGCCGGAACTACTGGGTTTTTTTGGAAAAAAATAATGATGGGGAATAAACTTAAGTGCTAGTTACTTTGTTTAGTTGCATAATGAATTGAAGTATTCATCAGTGCACTCTTAAAAAAAGCTAGTAGGTGTCTTGAGACTATACGCATTGGTTCTAAATAGAAACATATTAAAAGCGGTTCTAAAGGGGTTTGGGCTCAACCCCCACCCCTCCCCTAAGTTATCTTTCTGGTGGCAAGAGGCCTCATCCGCCCCTATGAAAAGATAGCCGTATATGCCCATGGCCGAGCTGCTCTTCTTCTTCTTCCAATTGTTCTGTTAATCTTCAAAGGGCTATGCAGCCTATATATCGTAGATTTATAGAAAGGTTACCAGTTAGTGAAATTTTCTATGAATAAAACCATTACAAAAATGCGTTTTTGAGGGTTAATGATGGAAGAAGAAA